GTTTTAATGATTTGGCCGATTAATCGAAAAAATAATCAACAGATTAATTGATTATTAAAATAATCATTAGTTGCAGCCCTAGTGTTTAGTTGCTGCTACTGAAACAATAGAAATAAGAAATAAATCAGTCAACATCTGCTGGATGTGTTTGATCATGAATCTGATAACTTCATACCAAAGTTTTAAACACAGATGTGTGAACTGTCAGAGCTCAGTGTTTGTTAGGGATCACTTCCAGCTACTACCACATCYAATTTTAGCCCATCTTCTTTAAAAATGCCTGTTATAATCATTTATGTGTCTCATCGTAGCAGGCGATAATAACTGAACATCGTTTTATTAATTTTTAAGCATTTAAATTGATTTCTGATAGTTACGCAAGTGGAGATTTTTTCTGTTGGTAATAATTAAACTTCGTCACTCGTCACACAGGAGGCGAAGTACCTGTTCCGTCTCTACATGGCCCAGCAGAAGTACAAGGAGGCTGCTCGCACCGCCATCATCATAGCCAGAGAAGAGCAGCTGGCGGGTACATACGCTTCTGCAAAAACTTCCCAAACACTGAAGAAACTAGTAGAAAAATAGACGTTAAATATGTGTGATTTTCTGTGCTGTGACCACAGGGAACTACCGTAATTCTCATGATATGCTGTTCAGCATGTACACAGAGCTCCAGGCTCAGAAGATTAGGATCCCTGCAGAGTTGTCCAACAATCTGATGGTCCTTCACTCCTATCTCCTGGTCAAGGTCAGTGATGTGTGACTAAACCCATCGTACTGCTGCTCAAACAAAAAAACTCTCTTTTCTCAGCTCAAATACTCCTGGACTACATAATGTTTCAACTGTTTGTGTAGAAATAGGAGTCATTTCAGGTTTGATCAGAAATACTTAGCTCAGATARAAAACCAACAAGGAAACTGAGGTTCAGCGGCTGTGAATGAAAATATGTCTAACTTGAAAAGCTGCCAAGTTCACCAACTTTTTAATTTCAGACATCCTCAGCTTTCATTATGCCTTTAATTTTTTACGAGGCCATTTACTTGAGTAATAAAACAGCCCTTTAAATGGAGTGATTATGTGTTTAATCACAGTTCAGGTTAATGAACCTGTAGAATGGRTGTAGTACAGAGTTGGGTCTGCTGCGCATGTATCTTAGAGGTAATTGAGAGCAGCACTTTTTTGTCGCCAGGAGTGTGTCTGACTTTTAGAGTCGTGTTTTTATGTAGATCCACATTAAAAGAGGAGATCACCTGAAGGCTGCGCGGATGRTCATTCGTGTCAGCAACAACATCAGCAAGTTTAACGCTCGTGAGTAAACAAACTCAACTCAAATATCTTAATCATTTATGGTCACTGAACACTAAACCGTCTGTGTGTGTAGATGTGGTTAACATTCTGACATCAGCAGTAATCGAATGCCAGCGTGCCGGACTGAAAGACTCAGCCTTCAGCTTTGCTTCCATGGTGATGAGGTCAGAATACAGAAGTAAGATCGACCCSAAGTACAGGAAGAAGATCGAGGCGATAATTCGGTGAGTGATTAGTATTCATCCTCCTCCTCACTCACACTGTATTTATTTTTTTATCCACTGGTTATACCTCGTTTCTTATCTGGGAATTCAGTCGTCCTGACAGATCTGAGTTGAAGGAYGAAACCACTCCTTGTCCCTTCTGCGGCTTCCAGCTGTCACAGAATGAGCTGCTGTGCACTTCCTGCAACAACAACATACCCTACTGCATTGCCACGGTACAAACGTTTAACTGCTCACACACTGGATTTCTTATGAGCAACACYATTTGTCACCATTAATATTATTTTTTTACTTTCATCAGGGTCGTCACATGCTGAGAGAAGACTGGTCCATCTGTCCACATTGTGAATTTCCTGCTCTTTATTCACAGTTCATTCTGTAAGTGCCACATGGAAAARCATACTGCAGCTTTTTACGAATACTTAAAACAATTTAAACCTATTTATTATGTAAACTGTACGGTATACTTTAAAATGTARGTATTTAAATAAGAACATACCTTCTTGAACAACACCCAGATCTGCTCCACAGTCTGACAGGAGCATGTAGGGTTGGTTTTATGTCACCAAGTTATATTTTGTCTCTTATAAGATTCAGATCATGTAACAAATGCTCAGTGGTTTAGGYTTTGTCTGCAGCGGTTTGTACACCTTGGCAATGACAGTAGCTGCTTAAAACTGAGTGCTTATTGTTTACTACAGTTAAATCAGTTTCCTTCAGTAGCTCAGAGAAGTGTGTCGACTAGCCTTATGCCTTTCTTTGAAACTGGATTCTCCMAATTARGACAATATTGTTTAATTATGAGGCTATAGAAACTTGTTTTATGTGCAAGTTAAATGTCATCCTGACCATGAAAAGCTCAGTTTCTCACTGAGGTTCTAAGATGATAATTATGAGCTTGAAGCTTCTCAGTTTATTTCTCTGACAATGTTCACAAATGAATCAGTTTTGTTGTTTCATCGTGATTAACTGAGCTACGTTTAACTTTGTTTCAGGCTGCTGGAGACAGAGACGATGTGTCCCATGTGCTCTGAGAATCTGAATGCCAACCAGGTGAAGAAGATTTCAGATTGTTCTAAATACCTGCAGACTGAAGACCTGGATCAGTGAAGAACAGGAGAAATGTAGATAAAAACACAAAACCTCAGAGAAAACTGGTTTAAAGGGATCCCTGATTACCGGTAGTTGTAACATTAGAATTTATTTGATAAACATATATTTTAACTGTAAAATAAAGACTGTAAAAATACTG